CACTCCACGTTTCCCTTGCTTTGGGTATTTGTTAACATTTGTTAACATTTCTGAACTATACGTACCCTAGCAGATATTCGTAAGTCAAAACCAGAAAAAGCTCAACTCTCTTCTCACATCTCTGCAAAAATAGTGGAGAATATCTATGAAAACAGAAACCTGTTGAGATTTCCCTTGAATATCTCCGAGATTTTTCCAGAGGAAAAAAAAGTAGGAGACATCAGCACTTTGGGCACAGATCTTATTGTTCAGCAACAATCACATTTTGCCTGAGGCCAACTCCTCCTGCCAGGAGGCAAAGCCACAGGCAGCAGCAGCACAGGGCCTTGGGCACCTGCCCAGGCAAGAGGAGGGGACAGGCACAATGCCCTGCTGGGGATCCCTGACACGGAGAGGCCCAGAGTTCTCAGGTTGCCACGGGAATTAACGAGGCCAGCAGTTGGGAAATCCATCCTGGCAGCTCTGAGACTCCTGCTTCAACAGAGAGCAGTGTTTGCCCCCGTGCCCTGCTGCAGCGAGGCCATGCACTTCAAGCAAAGGGGAGACCACTGATAAAACTGCTTTTATCTAAATACTTCCTTGACAAATAATCCTTACAGCTGGTGCTGCTTCTCAGTTTTGTGCCCGTTCTGCTGCACCAGCAGCTCACTGGGAACCCAAGCACAAGCCACAGAGGCTGCCTGTGCTCAGAGCAACAAGGATGGATTAGTCACCACCTCGACTTTTGAGTACATTTCCATATGCCACACACAGAAAAAAACACTAAGGAAGCAGCTCCCCCAAAGGGAACTAAAACCACCATCCTCTAAAAGCTGCCAGACAGGTATTTCAGCCAGTGGGAAAAAGCCAAATAAAAGCATGTGTAGGCAAGGGGCAAGCTCTGGTCTAGTTCAGCTCTATCCAGGGGTACTGCTGCAACCAGGACTGTCTCCATGAATCACAACACTGCTCGCACAAGTGTCAGCATAGAATCTTTTAATACTTTACATAAAAAACTGCATACACTATAGTTTTATGTAAACATCATATACATCTCAGTTTTTGCCATGTCAGTTTATTAAAAACAGTCTCAGTACCACTGTTGAGGGAAGAGGGAGAAAAGGAAACAAACATAAATGGATACATTTGTTCTCTGAACCAGAGAAAATTATTTTCACCCAGGTTGGCCACCTTGTGAAAATAAGTTTTAAATAAACCTTGATTCTTTAAATTGCCCTTTAGTACTAAAGTCTGATGTACTCACTGCATAAGTAACAGTGCTTTCACCCATTTTTTTTCCAAGGCAAAAATATACAGTGGTTTTATTTTTTGTCTTGTATTGAAATCAGTTTTAAACAAGACCCAGATGAGGTTACTGAGTAAGAATGTTTCCAATGCTACAGTGTTGTATGCAGATGATGAGTGCATTGAGTGTTTAATTTAAACATAAAAAAAATCCACCAAGTTGTGCAAAGTAACATCTTTTGAAAATAAATTTTTAAATAAATCCAAATCAACACACTTGCAGGAGACAACATTAAAAGTAAGGAGCAGGCACCAAAATCATAATATGGCAATATCATCCCCTTGCTCACCCTGCCTCATCTGTCAGGAGGTGGATATCCAGCAAGCAGGACAGTTCAGCTTTACTTTCTGGCCTGGTGGCTTCTGCAGCTGGAGTCAGTTCATGGCTCCTGTTATCAGCGGGCATCAGTCACTCAGGGCAAGTTCCTTTGCACAACACAAGTCCCACCTGGGCACCCCCTCCCCACCTCACTTCAAATAAGCACCCCCTGCACTACCCCAGTTTGCACAAGACAAAAAAGGTAACATATATACAGGCTTCGCTTGGGATGACCCTCCCTTCCCCTCCCAGTCTCGGTCTTCAGGGCACTAATTTCCACAGCAGGTCAGGCTCAGGCTGAAACACGTGAGGGAGAAGCAAGGATGCCGCAGGCAGCCTGGGAGAGGCAGCCCCTTTCCCCAGCTCGCCTGGGTGGAGGCACATGCAGGCAGGAGGCAGAAGTCCCTTCGAGCATCTCCGCTCCACCGCCCTCCTCTTGCAAAAGAGAGGAGGCTGCCCAGGAGCAGGGAGAAGCAGGTGTTGGCAAAGGGGCAGAACCGGGTGCAACGATCGCTCAGTCCAGTCTCAGCAGCTTTTTGTTGTTGAGTCCACGACTAACTCGCAGAGGTCAGTGGTAGGAGAAAGCTTCTCCCCACTGTTTTCCCAAGACTCAGGGCATGCAATTCCCCCCTCCCTCCGTCCCCACGGCTGAGCAAGCACAACCCTTTTTGGCCAAGGCTCAAGGAGCGTGCTCCCTCCCTCAGCCCCCACCCCATGCACAGCCAGTCCCTAGCGGAGGGGACGGGCAGATGCCGTGTGCGTGTAGAACCCAGCTCCTCTCCACCTGCCAACAGGTGACCCGGGCGCTGTGCCCAGCGCCGCGCTCCAGACACGCCCTATAGCACTTTGCAGCAGTTGATGCAGCCGTTCTGGGTGCCGTAGCGCTTCTGCAGGGCTGCCCGGGTGGCAGTCTCGAAGACCTCCCGGACACCCTCCTTGGTCTTGGCCGAGCACTCCAGGTAGTCGTAGGCCTGGATGCGAATGGCCATGGCCCGGCCGTCCTCGGTGCGCACCGGCTCCTGCTTCATGCGGGCCAGCTCGTTCCGAACGTGCTCGTCGTTCCGCAGGTCCTTCTTGTTGGCCACCAGGATGATGGGGACGTTGGGGCAGAAGTGCTTGACTTCGGGCACCCACTTCTCCGGGATGTTCTCCAGCGAGTCCGGGCTGTCCACAGAGAAGCACATGAGGATGACATCGGTGTCCGGGTAGGAAAGGGGACGCAGGCGGTCATAGTCCTCCTGGCCGGCCGTGTCCCACAGGGCCAGCTCCACCTGCTTGCCGTCCACCTCGATGTCCGCCACGTAGTTCTCGAAGACGGTGGGCACGTAGACCTCGGGGAACTCGTCCTTGCTGAAGACGATAAGGAGGCAAGTCTTGCCACAGGCACCGTCCCCCACCACCACCAGTTTCTTGCGGATGGCAGCCATGGCCAGGCTCGCCAAGCTGGCCTTGCCGTGCAGCAGGACGATGGCAGCGCCCTCCTCCCCGCGGCCGCCGCCTCCCGCTCCCTCTCGCTTCTCACAGGGCACCGTGGCGAGTCGGCCCGCGCAGGCAGGCGGGCGCGCCCTGCTCTCTTTGCTCACCGGCACCGCGCCGTCGCACTCTGCCTCGCGGGAGCGCTACGGCCGCAGGCAGCGTCGCTGGCCCCGGAGCTCTGCGGTGGAAGCGGTTCCGCCGTTCTCGCCCTCACAGCAAACACCGGCACAACACCGACTCAGCACAGCCACTGCCGCAAGCTGCGGCCCGGCGCCGCTATTTAAAGGCGCTCGCGACTTTCTTAATATAGCTGGCCAATGGGAAGGCAAGGAGTGAGGTCATCCCCGTCGGAGAGCGCTGCGATTGGCGTGCGGCCGCGGGCGGGAGGCGGGGCCGAGGCTGGCGGGGAGCGGCCGGGCTGGGCTGGGGCGGCGGGCCCGGGGTCGCGGCGGGGGCGGCCGGGAGCTCCCTGGCCTCGGTGTGAGCCCTCCGGCCCCGGGAGATCTCGGCTCGGCGCCAGCACAGGGCAGGGCCGGTCCCCGCCGCAGTCTCCCCGCTCGGGATGGCCGGTGTGAAGAGGCTGGGCGGGCACCCGAGAGGAACGGGAGGCACCGCTGCGTCCCTGGTGCTGCTTTTAAAGCCCGGGCAAAGTGAGCAGAGAGTATTGCAGGCGGCTGAATAAAATGCAATTAAAGCGTCCGCTGGGTGCTACTGGAAAAGCGCTCGACTTCCTTCCTTAAAAGAATCATCATGTTCACCTCTTGGCCAAAAGGGAGTGGAGGAATTGTAAACCGGGAGAAGCAGGCTCCAGTTCAGGCTTGAAATGAACTGGCCTTTGGGTCTCGGTTTACAGGGAATCGGAAGTCACAGCAATGATAAAATGAAATGGAAAATAAAGGGGCGCAAAGCGCAGCAGAGCGGGGTACTGGGAGGGCAGGGTGCGAGTCCCTCCACGGGAGGAGCTGCCTGGGGCGGGCCGGGCCGGCCGCAGTGCCGGGGACGCACGGACACCGCGGGCAGCGACGCGCTCGGTCCCTGGTGCAGCTGTCGCTGCTCAGCCGGGTGTCCCAAACTTCTCCCCTGCGAGCTTTCCCACACAGGCGATGTCCTGCGGCTACTCCCTCTCGGGGCTGGATTCAAAGTGTCTCGTTTTCCTAGCCAGCACTGGCATCAGTGAATAGAACAAAAATGAGTGGTTTGTACAATACTGTTGTTATTAAAAATTGTATTTTGAAATACCCACTTGGAGAGTGAATGCATCACTGAGTACATCAAATTGCCTGACAAGTTACTTGCAGCAGACTGTTACAGAAGGGTGTGTGTCAATAGGGCAAAAGGTTAATTTAATCCTAGACATTGAAATAAAATTCATTTTCTGTTAGATTTTTGTAATATCTGTTACTCCCAGTCAAAAGAGCACATCCCCAGACGCAGACGGATGAATTTGTACCTTGATCTTACAGAGGTTTGTACAGCATATTTTATGTGAACACAATAAATTCAAACTGATTTTTTAAAGAATCCAGCAATAAAGCGTAGACATAGACATGGATATTCATCTGCCCCTGTGGCCTTGGAGCGGGCCAAATTTCTGGCGTGCATCATCCCTTTAAATCCTGTCACAGCTCACAGGCTTCAATTCCTCACAAAACTGTGTGGAAATCATCCCCATGCTGCCGTGTCCTCTAGCAGTGGTACACTGGGAGCTTGTGCCTACTTCCTCCCCAGTCCCAAGCAGATTGATGCCGCTCAGGGAGGCGGACAGAGGAAATTTGCCGTGCATTCCCCCCGCTCCACGGACACCCCACGGACCCGCCACTCCCGCCGGCTGCGCCGACAACGCTCACCGCGGGGCCACAGCGCTCTCTGGCGGCCGCGCTGCGCCCTGCACCGCTCTGCGCCTGCTCCGTGCGGCCCGCAGCTGAAATAACCCACAGCCGGAATAACCCACGGCTGGAATAACCCACAGCTGGAATAACCCACAGCTGCAGAAACTGACAGCTGGAAAAACCCACGACTGGAATAATCTGCAGCTGCAAAAATCCACAGCTGGAAAAACCCACTGCTGCAAAAATCCACCACTGCAAAAATCCACCGCTGCAAAAACCCACAGTTGCAAAAATCCACCACTGCAAAAATCCTCCTCTGCGGCGGCAGCAGGAGAAGCTGAAACTGCTTCATCCGGCGTGAAAGGTGCTGCTTAAATATACTTCTGATTCCGCTTGTATTTGACTTTTGAATCACACCTGGGTGTTTGGTTTTGTCTTTTCAGGAGCAAAACATTTTGTTAAATAGAAAGAGGAATAATGCAAATGACCAGTTACTTTGATCAACTCATCTGTGCTGTGCCACGGAAGGCAGGTAAATAAGCAGCTTATTCATTTCAAAGCACGGGGCAGCTCTGTTGTTGCCCAGAGTGCCGCTGGCATTTACCGGTGCCTCAAGTGTCCCACATTCATACTGCTTAACTCTTTAAAGGCTTCAAAGCAGGGTGACCTCATCCAAATTGTCTGCTGGTTCCAGCTTCCAAATTGTGCAAAGCAATTACTCCACAAATGTCCAGCTAGCCCAAGTTAAATCCATACCATGATTTTTTTTCTTGTAAATGAGCAGTACACATATATTTGAAGCAACCAATTATGGCCTGAGCCCTAACTGATTCACTTTTAAGTGAAGTCTCACATCTCTAGTCTTCCCCACATTTGCACTGAAAGCAAAGTGCCTGATGTTTCATCTCTCACCTTGCAGGACAGACTTCAGCAAAGGCTGTGTAACTCCTTGACCAAGGGTTTCAAATGCTTTATATGTATTTTTTCCAGAAGCTTTATATTATGAGACTCGGCCCTGGGACCAACTCAGGCTGAGATCACTCATTTCACTCTTCTGGGGTGCACTCTAGCAACAGCCTCTGTGGGGAGCATCTAAGTCACTGTGGTTATTACACATCTGTAATTAGTGAATGTATCCAGCTCATGTATTTTAGGGCTGAATTTTAACTTATGTTGCAGCTTTTAAATTTTCTGCGTGAATCTCCATGATATGCTGAACTATTGTTCTTTAAGCAGACTGAATCTTCTCTTCTAGTTATCCCAAAATGTGCACTCTCTAAGTACAGCATTAGTTCTGCTGCACCACATAGATCTGTATGATTGATGAAGAAAGCATGAAGTAGGAGAAAGAAGACTCCACTTGTTTGCTTTTATCAATTACTGGAGATTGTTTCCAGATTATATTCCCCCCTGCTCCTCTTCTAAGCAGATTTTCTAAAGGGCATGTGTGTAACTCAGATAATTTGTGTTCAAGCATAAATCTGTACCAAAAGCATGAAAGCTCAGTGGGGAAGGCAATCTTTCTCCCTTTTGTGAATAAGTAGGCAAGTAAGTACATTGCCTGCTGTGGCATAACTTGCTGAGGGAGCCATGTGTCCTCTAATGGCACACAAAGTCCTGCATGCTGGCTTGCAATGCAGGCATCAGGCATCCTGCAGTCCTCATGCAGGCAAAGCTTCTCAGCAAAGTGAGGAAGGCAGGAGGCAGTGACATATGAGCAGTTCACAGGCTAGTGAAAAAGCTCAGCTAGTGAAAAAGCACAAGAAAAGCTCTGGGTAGATGTGAGAGAACAGGCAGAAATGGTGAGTATCTGTGTCCCCAAGATAAAGAGTTTGTGGCACACTTAGGAACCAGACCTTGCTGTGTGTCACTGCAGGTCCATTGCTTTCCAGCGTTCCTGGAGAAAAGCAGAGTTAAACTCTCAGAGCCCCAGTGGGATCAGTGGCCTCAGCAGACAATCCAGACTGATCTACCTGGAAACTGGAATGCCAAGGCACAGCAGGAGAAGGTGAAATGAACTGTGTGTTTTCATGCAGAGGTTTATGCTAAGTACAGTGCACATGAAAGCACACCATCCCAAAAATGAAATGCTTTCATGACTAAGTGCTGTATGGGATCCACTGGCATTGCTCTTCCAGGGAATAAGAGAGGTCAGTTGGAAGCTATTGGTTTTTTTTTTTTTTCCAATTCTTATAGCGGGACTATAAAATTCATAGTTTAATAGGACTCAGGAAATATGTGTTGGCAGAGTAAAATTATACCACTGCAGTAAATTAAAATGGCCTTTTGTCTCCAGCTGAGTTCAAATTAAATAAAAGCAAGTGCCTCATCCTTAGGCTAGAATTTTTAGGCCTACAACCCCTCATCTCAGTTGAAGAACTCTTCTGTAGCTGAATGAAATAAATGAGCTGACCACATAACTATTATGGATACTAATCATGTTACATATCTACATCACCAATAATGCCTTTGGAAACAGTTCTCTCCGCCGAGAGACCAAACTTGTCACCCTCTGGTTCCCTTTGTTCTCAGATTTTACTGACTGCAGACACCTTGCAGTCTTTGTCTACCAGGAAAACTGAGACAGTTAAAATTGCTTGTCCAATGCCAACAAGATAGTGGGACTTCAGTCTCTCTATCTGGAGTTCAAGATAATATCCTTAACAGTGGGAAGTTCTTTGTCCTTAGACTCTCCAGTGGATGTACTTCTTTCCACTTCTTTCAGGATGGTCAGACACTGGAAAAGGCTGCCCACAGAGACTGTGGAGTCTCCATCCTTGGGCATATTCAAAACCCAGCTGGACACAGTCCTGAGCAACCTGCTGTAGTTGATCTGCTCTGAGCAGGGCAGGGTGGAGCAGATAACCCCTCCTCACCTCATCCGTTCTTTGATTCTGCAATTCATGTATTTCTGATGCCTCAGCAGATCTGAAAAGTGATGTTTGGAGGGTCTCTCTGTCAGGTGTGCTCCTGTTTCACACTCCAGCACTGTCAGCCCACATTCCCACATTCCACCAGGGAGTTTGGCACACTCAGCTCTGAGGTGCTCACACAGGATGAGTCTTTCGCAATAGGAACAAGGAAACTTCTGAAGTAAACATGTTGTGATTTGTTAATGATTTGTGTAATTCCCACTTCATTGGCAGTAAAGTAGATTTCTTTAAAAAACAATGATGTCATATGGTTCTCCATGTAGATTTATTTGTTATATTAAGATACATTAATCTATTCCTTTCATTACTGTGGTGTTCTTTCAAGTGTGGTGGTCAGTTCTCTCTGCAGGGGAACCCATGACTTCAGGAAGCTGAGGCAGCAACAATACTGGAAAAAACTGATCTGAGGGAAGGCAGTTGATGGTGGAAATTACTATCCTGTAAGTAACAAACTTCTATTTCATATAAATTAACCATGACTCTGTGAAGAGTGAGAATACTTTCTTAATTCCCACTTGATAACTGATCTGTGAGCAAAAGCAGCATGGGTGCACACAGAAGAGCTATTGCCACTGTAGAGAATTCCACTAACAGATCATGGCAGGAAAAATGTCAATAAAACCAATCTGGAAATTATTCACTACAGTGTTTTGCATTCCATCTCACTCACAAAATTAGGTCATTCAATCTAAAAAAAATTTAAATTTGTTATGGACTAGGCACTGACCATAAGCAGTATCTGAGATGATAAAACAGAAGTATAGGGTACTGCAGGAGTCTTGGTTACATACAGATTTGGCTTATACCTTTTTTTTTATTTATAATATTAGGCAAGAACAGGGTAGTCACAATGTCAGAAGAGTCTGATGTCAGAGAAATTAAAAGATGGAAAAAATAGGGAAGAAAGGTAAGAGAGGAGTATGGGGAGGAAAAAGCAGATAAGGGAAATGCCAGACTAATGGAATTTCTCTCCTCATTCTACCCTTCACAAAAGCTTTAAAAAACCCCCAAAAAACAACACATCCTGGGAATATATAATTTTGTACTTCATCTTTATTTTCAAGGAGTGGCTGCTTTTAGGAGAAAGTTAGCTGTAGCTGGAGATCACCCCTGTGGTAGAATGTGCTTCCTCTTTGCTCTGTGCCATGAACACCTTACCAAGTGCTATGAGCCAATGCTGACACTAGTGACACAGAGATAGAAGGGGAAGAGATGAGACTCATTCTCTTGGATGTGCCAGGGAAGGACAAAGTGGGTTACTGAGACCTCTGCCCAGTGTTCCACAAGGATGTAGACATCTACAGATGTTACTTTAATGTGTTCCTTCGTGGACAGGACTGGCTTACAGCAAAACATCCTTGATTTTTGGGTTCTAGAAATCAAAGTGTTCTGCCTCACAGTACCTATATTCCAGTGGCTGCCGAGATAGAACTAAGGTGTTAAGAAGAAACTACTCCAGGCAAGGAGACAACACCACAGAAGGAAAAGCTTAGGCTGCCGGTGTTGGGGCATATGCTTACCTGGGCTGTTCTGCCAAGACAGAAGAAGGTGATGATAGAGGCCTGGAGATCATTAACCAAGTGCATTACGTGAGGAAAGGAGGAGAAAAAAACCACTGCAGGCACTGCCAAATTTTGTGAGAAGGGAACATTATTTTGTGGTTGGATTTCATCATGTGGAAAGGTAAGCAGGTATCTTTGTTGCTGTTGTGTTTGTGCTGTAGAGGCTGCTTATGTGTTATAGGAGGAAAACATCCCTTATCTGCAAAGCATCGCACTTGAAAGCTGGATTTATTTCTTTCTCCACCTCCAATAGAGGCTGAAGAGAACAATTCTAGGTTTGAGATGTGGAACCAGCCCTGAGAAATGGAAATGATCAAGCTACCATTATCCATGGAGGTTTTTCGGTCCATGGGAGTAACACTCCCATGTTAGAGGCCAGGACAGAAACCTAAACCAGCACTACTGGGACAAGCACAAGAACATGTGTTTTAATGAATCTAATCCCAGGTTCCTGGTAGTAGGACTCAGTGGCAAACAGCTGTGCTGACACAGTTTCCTCCCATACACTTCCTTGAAGGGTGTCCTTAGGGAAGGGAGTCACCACACAAGTATCCAATAGTCTGCTGTGCTAATGGCAGCAGGTTTCTGGCTGGCAGAGCAGGTCTGACTTTCTCTAGGATTCATTTGTAGAGCTGGCCCAGGCTTGGTTCCATATATGCATCAGGAATGCAATGTATAGCATAGAGTACAATGGAGGCAGTGCTATCTCCACCTATTCTTCAGGCACAGGTGAATAAACTGGGGTAAATCAGCCTGGATCTGGGGTAGGATAGTCCAGTTCATGATTGAATTCCTACCTTAAAAGTAGAAGAAAAGACTAGACTTAAATCTCTACACCTCTTTGTTCTTCTAATCTGAATGTATGTTAAATTTTTTTGTCTTTACCCAGCACTTGCAGGCAGAGGACATAAAGAAGAGGGAATGCCAGCAACCATGCTGTCAACTTTGCAAGTCATTAACAATCTGGAAAGAGACTGAGACATACTGTCAACTTAAGCAGAACATCTCAGAGTGGCTCAGAGATGGACAAAAATGAAAAGATTTTGGGTGCAACTCCCCAGTCCTCCCTTCTGAGAAGCAGTGAGTCCTGGCAGCACAAAGAACTGAGTTATGAACTGAGATTAAAGGCACAAGACTGGAAGCAGACAAGTAATGAGAATGCAGGGTTTGAAGGCACGTGCAGAAACACAGAAATGGACAGAGAAATATTCTAAGGTAAACCCCTTCTGATCCTGAAGTGAAGGTACAGCACTAATTGAGTGTAACTGTCATGAACTAGGAAAACATGGAAATCTGTCCCTTTGTTTTGCTCCTTCCTTGATGCTGGTGTCATCACTCTGGCAGCCTGGTTAAAGTTTCCCAGGAGGAAACAAAATGAGAACAAAGACAAATTTCTAAACTGATTGTGCACCTGGAGCTGTACACTTTGCAAATGAGCTTTTCCACGTGAGAGACATGGCAAAATACACAATTAAGATTTTTTTCTTACCCATCTTCCCACCATTATTTGTCTATTGATGATACCATGGGTAGAAATGCTGGGGCTGGCCAAGTATTCAGTATTGGATGGATTGCTGCTTTCCTCCTACGTCACTTTGTGGTAGCAGTTTGAAGTCCACAATCACACTATGCCATAACAACAAATGCTTCAAGGATGACATTTCCAAAAACACCTTTCTTCCAAGAATCTCTGAGTGCTTTTCAACATGAATTACCAGCCCATCTCTTGGTGATAAGTAGGTGTTATTTCAGTCTTCAAACTGAGAAACTGCTGCCTAAAGTAACTGTGAATCATCTACTTCCTGGAGTTTTCTTTTTCCTGTTTTCCATACCCTTTCCCTTTTGTCTCCTGGGCCATTCTTAACCGCAATTTCCTCTCCCCTCTGTCTATAATAATCCCCTCGATGCAACCTGATGTTGTACCTAAACTTTAAAACTCTCCCCCCCTGCCCCCTGCATGCAACTTGGGCGTGTGTGTGCTGTGCATAAGTGCTCTCCTCATTCAGGTAGAAGCATCAATTGAGCTGTATTTATGTAGATAGGTTTAAATTGTTATTTCCATGCTCTATGTGCATGTGTGGGTGGGGAGGATTAGTCTGCAGATAAGTTAAAGAGCGCAGGTGTCTCAGGTGCCTCTGATGTGGAGCACTGAACCGGAGAGAGGCAGTTTTGCAAAGATTCTCAGCACTTACTGCTCCCCCTGCTTGGAAAGTTCAGACCACTTGTGTGAATCAGAGCTCACACTACCTGGTGCTTAGGAGGACACTGGGCAGCACATTGGCTGGTGTCTGTTTTCAGTCTAAATAAACAAGTGCTTTCCTCCAGAAGGGTGTTTTGTTCAAGATAAGGGTAACTGCCTTCACTCCCAGTATTCACTGTACATATCTCTGAATTAAGCTGTTGTTACACTGACCTTAGTTTCTGTTTCTTAATATTAATCTTTTTATTGGTTTTTTTAAAATAAGAAATATAAAACTGGCAATCTGTTTCCACTGTATATTCCTCTGCAATTGGAAAAGAGAAACTCAGGGGAGGTTTTTCATAATGTTTTCTTAACCTGTATAAATTCTCTTTTTTGCCACTTCTATGAAAAAAATCAACAGTCTTCCTCTGTATCTGTCTCAGAGCACTTTTTCAAAAGATGTTTACTATGTGGCTAAGAAATTGATTTAGCTGAAGTCCATATTTTAGGGCATCTGTCTCCCAAGAGAAATCCAGGCTGGATAGTTTCCTGTTCAGTATTTTAGCATTGTTCTGTGATCCAGCAGTCAGTGTATTATCCTAAGGCTTCTGTATCTGGGATTGCTTCTCTATTCCACCTCAGGCTATGTCTGTGTGGCTGTACAAAAGAGGATGTGCATGTCTGCCCTGCCAAGTAGCTGGAAAGAAGCAGTACCCCATGGCAGGGGGGGCTAGCTCACTTTTCCCATGTAGGAATGTGGCCCCTGTGGGGGTCCCAGTTGTTGGTTTCTCTAGGTATGGATTAAAGGCACTTGAGACAGTAATTCATGTTCGGACTCAGATATTTATTATTTCTTATCAGTAGAACAGCCTCACTACTGTGAGTTCAGCAGCTTTTCTTTAGAAGGCACAAAATGGCCAACAATCTCTTGTTACAAGGTCTTTTAAGACTAAACTATCCAATTAAGAACAGACACCTAGATTATTTTCCCTTTTAACCCAATAACTGATCCCAAAGAGCTGCAATGTGGACTTTTCTGCCCAATTACAAAATGCTACCCAAACCCATGAAGAAGGAGGAAGAAGAAGCATGAAGAAGAAACCCAGGACAACACCCTATGCCCTCCATTTTACTTCCATCCATAACATACTAAAAATCCCCAAACCTAAATGTCTCACCAAGTGATACACCTACACTAATCTATATAATCTATTTCACACTTTTGTGGATTCCAGTCTATCTTGAAGTCCAGGAAACTTTCTCCATGGATGAGGGTCAAAGTCAGTGCTCCCCTGGGGGTCAGGGCACCCCAGAGCAGACAGAGAAATATTCCTGGTGCCCTGGGTTTCCACATCCCAGGACCCTGTGCAGTCCCCAGTGCAGGGACACCTGCCAGGTGACACTGGGCTCCCACCCACAGCCCTGCTGGCATGGGCATTGTGCTCACTCATGGGAGGAACTCAGGCTTTTCCTGTGGATGAGCTCAGCCATTGAAGGATGGAAAGGAAAGATCAGCCATTGAAGAGCTGGAAAGTCGGTAGGAGACCGATATTTGGAAAGTGATACATGCCTGTATCTTAAGCTTGGAACAAAAATGAATAGCGATGAATCCATACAGAAGCAAACTGCCAGCAGTCAATACCCAGACTAAGCTTGAGCCAAAGTGCTCTCCTCTAATGTAAGTCATGCTGCCAGTGTTGGAGGGGAAAGGAGAAGAAAGAGAGGGAGAGGAAACTGTTTTATTAACCTTTTTTTTCTTACTTTTGTGTATTTAAATATTAAACATGAGTATTTATTAGGAAAATAAAAAACAAAGGAAAGAAGTACTATGCAACAGAAGATGGAAATTAAATGAAGCTCATCTATCATTCAACAGGGCCATTTCTAAGATGAAAAACAGTATTTGCTCCCCATCACCACAGTTGTCCAATTGAAACAGCAGGGGAATTCATACTATATTAGATGAATATGATGTTATACAGTACAATTTGGGATTTCAGTGAAGCAAATATGCATATAAATGATATTGATGTATTCAGTCGAAATAAGACTAAATAAATAAATAAAGTACATAACAATAAGAAAAGAGTATGTGAGAGCAATTTTCAATTTTCATTGCGTAGATACTTTATTCATTCCATGAAATAGTGTTGTAGTAGCCTGCTTAAGAATGTCATCAAGGCAAAGTTTGTAGACAAGCTGACTTTGTTGGGAAAAGAACAAACAAGTTCTTGGACACTTATGTCTTCGAACACCTCCTCCAGATCCTGTTTGATAAAGGACATGACTTCCCCCATAGAGCCCTACAGCCCATGATAAGCCAAAAAGCCATGACAATCTAGAATGTGTTTTGTGCAGAGATGTAGGAGGAGCCTGTAGGCTTCAGAGACATCTACAAAGTGATGCATCAGCAGTGCTTTAGCAAAAACCTCCCTGCACAGCACCAGTGCAGGGCTTTGGAAGGAGGAGCAGTTTGGAACTAAAAAAGCCTCATGTGTTCTCTCCTTTTCATTGCCTGTTTTGCAGATGCAGTGGAGAGAGGGTAATATGTCTTGCTTAGCAAGACCAATCTCCATTTTGCATCAGTTTCTTATGTAAATAGTCTTCCTAGTAGACAATCTATCAGTCTACCTACTGATTCATCTGTTTACTCAAAATTATCTTCAGACAGGAAGCATGTTCTCTTTTATGAAAATAGATTCTCTTAGGCTTTTGTCTCAATTTTCTTCATAATGTCTTGCCACTCAATCAAATTCATTTTGTGAAATGTACTGCATCTGTTTTAAATAATTCATCATCTTGTACCTCTGCAATCACTTGGAGAATGTCAAAGTTATACAAGAGCCTGGAATTTGTTATTATATTTTGATGGAGATACAGGGTTGGATCATGGTATTCCTCCACAGCAACTCAGAATAGCATATGAAAAGGAGGAAAGACTGCAAGTTTTTGCCAAAACTAAATTCTGTGTGTCTCTAAGACCTTGAAAGATTAATCTCTGCTAGTGGGCTTGTCCATCACTGCACTGTTGATGTGTTCACATTTCAATCTGCTCAGTTGCCCAAGACATGTTTCATGACAGCTACCTCCTGTGTCAGGGTGGCACAGCTTTTGGAGAGGACTTGTCCCAGCACATCCCTCAGGCTGTGCCTGTTGAGGGGGCAGATTGGTAGACAAACATTCAGCTCATGAATCACACCCATGACTGGTTTCTGAGCAGTTTGGTGCATTGGGAGCAACTTTGCCTGCTCAGGTGTGGCTGAGCCAAGCACTGTTGCAAGGTGTATATGCCTGGGTGCTGGAAATGGGGGATTTAGCTGCCTCCCATCATCCAGCCTTGACTGAGAGGGAGTTTGTAAGCTTGAAGACATTAAAAGGAGCATTTTTTTTCTCTTTCAACCCTTTTGCTCAGGCAGTAGGACAGTCTTGGCAGAGACTTTCCTTGGCTCCCACCTGACTGCAGGCCCAAGTGAACAGGTCACTATCACAGGCTGACAAATCCAGTGGCCCAGTAGAGGCAAGGCTGCTGCAGGTCCCTGGCCCCAGGGCCGGCTGTCAGCGGGGCTCAGTGTGTGCTCCCAATGGGCACAGGAGCACAAACACACACTCATATCTGGGTACACACGTGATCTGGTCCACACAAACACTCAACACACACACAAACACAACCAGCTCCAAGGGCCTCATCCTGTTCTGCTCTCTGGCAGATCATGATGAAAGCCCATCAATAAAAAAAAAAAATTATATTTATATTTATATTTATATTTATATTTATATTTATATTTATATTTATATTTATATTTATATTTATATTTATATTTATATTTATATTTATATTTATATTTATATTTATATTTATATTTATATTTATACAGTGTGGATCCCTCCAGCCACTATCCTGAAACACTCAAGTCTGCACAGTAGCTGGTCCCTGAATGCTCTCATCTCCACTTGGCTCTTGCACAGACACACACAATCAGGTCTCTCAGCTGATTCCAGGCTCCATAATACCCCCAGTAGCTGGCCAGGACCCCCTGGTCCTTCCAGTAGCCAATACAGAGATCTCTGGTGCCTCCAACATCCTGACCAGGCTTATGGTTGCTTTGGTACCTTGTCTGCTAAAGCCTTTTATCTGACTCACCTGTTATTCCAGATTGACATTCACCAGTGATCCCCCTAGACTCCCAACACACATGTGCACACAGAGCAGAGTCTCTCACCCATGAAAAGCCTCTGAAGTGGAGCTCAAGGAGAAGACAAGCCCTTGTGACCAGGTGCAGGGCATGGCCAGCCAGACAAAGTAACCAACCAACCAACCCTTGACATGCCTCTGGCCCCTTTTATCCCCTTATCATTGTGTTTTTCCACCCTTATTCCTTTCCAAACCACCAAGATCCCTCCCTTTCCCCCTGAATTGTTCCTCCTCTAAAGATCCCATAGTAAGTCTTATGCAATTCCAAGGTGCTCCTCCTCTGTGTCCCATACTGTGTCCTGTATCCCTTGCCCCTCTCAGTCCACACAGCCTTTCCCTTTAGCTCATGAGCACCCCAGGCTGAGACCCCCAGGACAGCCCTGAGAGGGGCTGCACTGGGGCTCATGTCCCCTACTGAGGTTTCTGGCCTGTTGGGGCCCAGGACATTCCTCTGACTGCCCTGGGTGATTCAAGATCCTGGCAGGGGCCTCAGAGACCTTGGTACAGTGTCAAAAGCACCTGTGCCTTCGATTTAGCCCATGGAAACAATTACCAACTTTGTGTGAAGATTTATAAGCCACAAGAGTTTGAGTAGAATGCTAGTTTATTTGTCACAGGGTGAAAAAGTAGAATTTTGGGGTTTTAGAATGGGGGTTCAAGAAGCAAGATGGAGAAATCTGGGCATGTCCTGTCCTTCTTCTCTTTCTTCTTTTCCTCTATCTTCTGCTGTGATGGTGACACTTTTTAATTGGTTTAGAGTAGAGACAGACTGTCTAACACAGGTGATAGATATTGGAAATTATTGTAAATAAAGTACACATAGTTTGTAATAGAAAAAAGGGCAGTCGTGGTGCCACAACCCGACCTGCTGGACAGATCCCAGCAGGTCAGAGGAACAATGTAATAGATAAGAGAAAATAACCAACCTTGAAAACCAGAACCGACGAATCTCGACTTCTTCTTCAGTCGTAGCGCTGGGTAAAAAGAGTTTCTAATACCTTGGGGGTCATCTCAACCACAGAAACCCAAGACCTCCCA